GCAATCTACTTCCATAGTGATACTGCCTTGGAAACCCAAGGAGGGGTCGCTATGAGTCAGATCTGACTCGACAGCAGTGAGTTTGGTTTTGGTTTCATGAATATGAGGAGCTCTGGCAGAGCAGTGGTTAAAACATTTAGCTGCTAATTAAAAGGTCAGTGGTTCAAGCCTACCAGCCACTCCACAACAGAAACTTGTGGCAGTCTGCTTCCATTAAGGTTTACAGCCTTGGAAACTGTATGGAGTAATTCTATTGTTCTATAGGGCCACTATCAGTTGGAATCAACTCGATGGCCATTGGTTTGGTTGGTTTTATGATGAACATCTCTCCATATCTCACTGTACTATAATTATTTTCAATCTGTATCTCCTTGAGTATAAGTATGGCCATCTTTGGCCCTGTCTCCCTCTCCATGCCATCTCAAAGCTGGCATACAGTAGGCCCACCATGAACATACGTGTGAATGCCACAGAATGTGCCATGGTGAGTTGCTCTGTTCCCTGCCCAGGAACACAGTGCATTTCCATGGATAGGGACAAAGGATTATGAGGCAGGGGAGAAAGATTTCAAGGTCAGCCAGAATACAGCCAAGGCTGGTCAAGGTCTAGGATGAGAGTATCTTTAAAGAATGATCTCCCAGAACATTCCTTCACACCAAATAGCAACAGGATTCCGAGGGGAGGTTCAATTCATGATCCAGTGTCCATGGGTGATATTGCTCCTCAGGAGATATTTGTTTGGAGATATATTTGGTTGTCACATCTGGGGCAGGGGTTGGGGGAATGATGCTATTGCATCTGGTGGGTTGAGGCCAGGAATGCTGCTAAGCATCCTACATTGCTCAGGACAACTTCCCCCCACCCCCAGCTCAGTAACACAGAATTATCTCATCTACAATGTCAATAGTACTGAGGTTGAAAAACACTGATTTAGATGATCTTAGTTAAATATTAGAGACTAGCTTGTTCAAAGGTTGTCAGACCCATTTCTGCAGAGCTTCTGAGGCTGCTTCTGAGGGTGGGGTAGGCAGAAGTGGACAGTGCCCTTGGCCCCACTCCCAGCCAGTCTGATTAGGTGCCCTTTTGTCAATGCTTGATGCTGAGGAACTGTGTTAGTTTTCCTTTGGAAAAAGCCTGGAGTTGGGAAGAAGGAACCACTGCCTTGCTTCCATCTCTGTTTTATAGGCCCAGAGCAGAAGCGTGAGTTACCTGAAGTCACACAGTGAATCTGAAGTACATCAGGGAGACAGGCACAGACTTCTGGTGTCCAGAGACCTTTTCACCAGGCACTTAGCCACTGTATAGAATCAATAACACGTTGGCTAGGAGTCGACACCTAAGAGAAAGGAAGAGATTGGCAAACTAAGGCCCATGGACCAAGTCTGTCCCACTGCCTGTCATGCCTGTTGTGGTATGGCCCACAAACTAAGAATGTTTTTTTTTTTTGTTTGTTTGTTTTTAATGACTGGGGGGGAGGGCGCAGATAAATAATTTTTCATGATACATGATAATTTTATGAGATTCAAATTTTAGAGTCCATAAATAAAGTTGTAAGGAGCTCTGGTGGCATAGTGCCTAAGGCATTTGACTGCTAGCCAGAAGGTTGGAGGTTAAAACCCATCAGCCACTCCACGGAAGGAAGGTTGGGCAATCAACTTCCGTAAAGATTTACCGCCTTGGAAAACCAAGGGGGTCGCTATGAGTTGGAATCAACTCAATGGCAGTGAGTTTGGTTGTTGGTTTAAATAAAATTGTATTGGAACCGTGCCATGCTCATTCTTTACGTATTGCTTTTGTGCTACAATGTCAGAGTTGCAACACGGTTGTAGTTGACATAGTTGTACTTGGCTGGC